CCACTCACTAGGTATGTATCGCATAGCTATGCAGGCCTTAAATATTCTACATAGATTTGGAATTAGTATTTCCTGCGCCTTTTGGAGTAGGATGAGGTAGATTCCATCCTCTCCTGAAGATTTAAATGGTTGAAATTTGCTTATAGCCCACCTTATTCTGTTTGGCCTTGTTATCCTTGTGGCTAGTCTCCAGTCCGAGGCATTTGGCCTTTTCAGCTTGCTTGGCGGACTGTTCACCGCCACTGGCTCATTTAGAATTGTTGCGGCCGGAAAGTGTGCCTCGATTAGCATTGATATACTCTCCTCGAAGGTTGTTGTGTAGGTATTATCTTCCTTTTTCAAGAAACCTACTTGATTTACAGTACCCTCCTTCGCCAACACTTTGTGGGTTCTAGAACATGTGGGGGTATCCATTACCTCCTCACAGAACTTCTTCCACGATTGCCTTTTTGCCTTTCTGATCTCTTTGTTGTACTGCGTAAGTGTAGCCTTATATTCAGCCCAGTCTTGGTTGGTTTTTGCCCTGTTGAATAGCCTACGCACTTCCCTTCTGAGGGTTGTTAAGTGTTTATTCCACCAGACTGTTTTGTTATTCTGTTGCCTTGTTTTTTCAGGGCAGCTAACCTCGTAAGCTGCAAGTATTGCCTTGCTTACTAGGTTTACTGACCTCTCAAAGCTTTTGTCATCCTCAATTTCTACCATATCTCCTTCGAGAGCATTGCTGAGTGACAATAGGTATCTATCCCAGTCTGTCTCCCTGGGGTTTCGGTAAGTGATTGAGGTTCGAGGAGGGGTAACTAGATCGCATCTGATCTGTCTATGGTCGGAGCATGGAGGCTCCTCGGATACGTGCCAATTTGCTATGTTATCACATGCTTTTTCTGTCGAAAGTGTAATGTCCAATACCTCTTTTCTTGTTGCAGTGACAAAGGTTGGTTTATTTCCTACGTTAGCTATTAATAACCTTTTTGTTAGTATGAAGTCTAGTAGTGACTCACATTCACTTGAAAAATGGTTCAATTTTACGTTAGCTGAAATATGAATATTCATTCGTGTGTTACGATTATAGTAATCATTCTTTATGGATTCCATTATCCAGAAGTTTCGGTAATTCGAACGGTTTCTGCCTACTTTCTGTTCAGACCATACATTCATTCATTCATCTCCATTTGGAAATCAATGGTATACTCGTATATATACCCACCTCATCATTAACTCAATAAATTATTGACTCCATATTTCATTACTCAGAACTCTCCTTCAATTTCATGAAAATTTAGCTTTTTTCTCTGCACAAGTCCAATTTCATTAACCACTATAGCTGAAACTTCGAATGAATGAAACATTGTGAATGTATATATATATATATTGCGATTGCAGGAATTCATGAATAAGAACTTTTCCAATCTGCTTAGAGAAGCATTGCACGATCTTCAATTTTTCGAGCTGTATTTTCATTTCATAACACTTCCATACTAACAGTATTACTTCAACTCTGGGATCAAAAATCTCTTTCAGTATTACATAATTAACGATTTGTATTCAGTTTCCGTCATAATGGGCTCGAACAGAAACTGAAAAATACAATTCTCATGCAGAGTGCATGATGAAACTTTAACTTTATACATTCCTCACATAGTTTCCGAATCTGAACACGTGTTCGAGGGTTCTTCTCGACGATTTTCTACAGCCTCCCGATCTGCATTCCTCTCAGCTGCATTATTTTGAACATTTAATCCAGTCTATTTCGCTAAGATATTTCAATGTTCTGAATCATTCCAAAGATATCTGGATAGATGAATGGAAGTCACATGCAATCGGTGATGGCAAGGTAAACTCTTGATACAATTTTTTGACGACTGTTCTCATATTTCGGCTTTGTTTGAAGTAGAATCGATCTCATTGTATTCTCAGTTTTGAACACAGTTCCCACTTGAAACTCTTCACCAACACGTTTAATCTTTAGAGAATAAACCGGGAATAAATGGTATTATATTTGTTTTTATTTATAGTTGGTTTTGTTGTGGAGGACCTCTTCCGTTTTCATTTTGGTTGATCGTCTTATCGAAGAAATTATATGGATAGAAGTCGAGTTGAAAAACATATGAAACCATACATTCCTGGTGAATCTGGAATTGCAGAAATGTAAAAAGTAGAAAGTGTGGTCATTAGAAAGTATAAACATTGTATTATGGTCAGGTTAGGTTCACATGATTCGATTCAATATCCGTGAATTGAAGTGTTTTTCACTTCGCTATTGAAAACATGCTCATCAGCTTACATCATATTCTCAAGTAGATAACTATGTATCTTCAACAATGGTTGAAAATCTGGAATGAAAATTGAAGGGCAATAGCACATATGCCAGCTGATGTTGAAACATTATTGAACGGCACCATAAAACAACTCAATACCTTATTGGGAGTGCAGATTGATCCTACTCGTGATATCAACAACATCTACAGAAACGGAAATTCACAAGATACCAATAGTCCCACTGCTGTCGGAATTTCTACCAAACTGAAGACACAAGAAATCATAAATAACAGTCTGTATCTACTACGATCTTTTTGAAGAGGATCAAAAGGCTCAACGAACTCGTACATATCTTAAGCTTGCCAAATCAAGACACCTCTGAACGAGAATCAAGAAAAATATTTCAATTGAAGAAAACAAATGATATAGTGGGTGTCCTTCTCTCGGAAGTTAATTTCAATGAAGAACTCAAATTTCATGGAACAGATTGCAGTCAACAACGGAAACAACGTTAATTTGATAGACAGTATTCTTTCTGAAAAACTTTATCATGAAGCTATTCAAGGAGTTTATCCTACCATCAAGAATAATAATCAAAATCATTCAACTCGATTCTATTTCGGATCATTAAATGAGAAATTAGCTCCAGTTCTACATTAACAGGACTTAAAAGTGACATATAGAACAAATAACACGTTGGGATGGTTTATCAAGAATAATAAAGACAAACATCCTTGATTTGAAAAATTCAGGGATATACAAACTCAACTTTGGATCTTTTCCTAAGGTATATATCGGTCAGACAGGTCGTACGTTTGATCGGCGCATTGATAAACATAAGATTAATTTCATGAAGAAGAAAACAAATTCAACATACGCCAACCGCATGAATTAAAAGAAAACCATAGTTTGAATGATAATTTCGAAATTCTACACATAGAAAATAAAGGACTGAAACTCAATCATTTCGAATCATTAGAAATCAACAAACTCAAAAATTTTGACATTCTACTTAATGATCAATTAGACCTAAATAGTTCACCACAGTTGATTTTGTTTCCTCAGTAAGTAATAATATGTATTTGCTATCAACTCATAATCCAAGTTAATCCGGTATAACGTATTTTAATGTAGATATTGTGCCTAATTTCCGAAAATGCGGGTTCATCGTACCTGTCTCCAGGATGCTCCAGGTAACTAATCCTTCATGTTGAGAAAGTAGGATATATAAAAGTTAGGCGAGCCGACGTTATTTAAGTTCATTGTACCAGTATATCATCTGACGAAGCTGCTATGTTAGCGAAAGGTGTCGTGTGCTTGAGAATTTTGTGAAAATCTTTTCGTTTGTGAAATTTTTGAATTTTCATTACATAACATTCATTATTTGATCATTCATTATAATTTTCTACCAGCATTATTGGTAGTAATATTTCATCAATCTTCAACATTGGGAGTCTACTATAAAGTAAGTGTCATCATGATTCATAGAATTTTCCACATGAATGTCAGATCCCTTATATATAGACTCCCAAATTCCAAAGATAATAAACATGACATGATTTATCTAACAGACACCTAGCTGAACGTTGAGATTGCGAATACTCCTGTTCAACTTCCAGGGTACAACTCATAGACTAGATTGCCGATCAGGGCGCGGAGGTGGTATTGTTTTTTTTTGAAAACTGACTCATTTAGTCGCTGTTTGAAAATTTACCAGCAAATTATATCTGAGCAACTGTGGGATGATTTCAAATAAGGAATCTAACCTCTTGTCTTGGGCACGGTTTATAAGCTCGATGATTTTCTCGCTTCTGATTCCATAAATGAATCATAAATCGTTTCAGATATCCAAATATGATTATATATTGATGTCAACATTGATATGTTGAATATCGATAATATTTGTAACAACCGTTTGTCCTGAAATGAATCTTCACTGAGATACAGTCTTAAGAACGAAAAAAGTTGAGATTTCCCAAAATTCCTCCAGAACCTCTGTAGCAAAATAATTCGAACTCAGTATACCAATCCAGATCAATCAGAGTGATCACAGAGAATTTTCATCTTCAAATATCATCAACCACTGGCTTAGTAAGAGTCGTATGTCACCACATTTCCCTTCATACATTTTCTCAGACAGATGAATCATCAAATCAGTGAATGACATCAGTTTGTATAATCCATACTCAACCTGAAACTAATGAAATTCGCATGCCTGGGCGTTCAGGGGGTATTTGCGGAACACTTGAGACATGTCTCGAGGTGATGTAGAGGCATGAGTTTCTGCGTACCATAATCTCATGATGTTGATATTATACGAGATATCGATATTACTTTTCGACCAACGAGATATTTTTGAATGTCGAAAAAATCAAAGAGTGTGGGTGAGTCAGGAGTCAATCGACAAACTCGAGGTTGAGTCATCAACAATTCGTCAGAATCATGAAACTATCAATATAACATTTTCCAATTGAGAAAAACCATGGTAACGTTTTCAATATGTCGAACAGTAACAAACGTTAATTATATCAATAGATTACTTGACGCATAGGATATTCATGTTCTGAAAAAAACACTTAAATAATTGTTCTCAAAGGAGAAGTTTGAATGAATCCTCACCTTGTTCAATACATAATTGACATCATCTGATCATGGACTGTCGCATGTTCTGCTGCAAGAACTCTATCAGTTGAATCTTACACAGATTTTACACATGAAGAGTAGACTTTTGGCATTTGGGATACCTCCTAAGAAATGAATCTAATAGGGTTGAATCAGGAAAACGTGCAGGCCAATGACCAGCCCAATTCGCATCAGTAGCATAGCCATAAAAATCATCGTCATCTACTTCTGCATTGCTTAGAAACAGATCCAATTTGTCTGTGCCATTCAGATATCTTATAAATCTTTTGACCTCTGTCCAATCTTCTATGGTTGGTTTACTAGCTTTTTTTGCAAGAATTGATACACTCGCAGCAATATCAGATCTAGAATTCAATGAAATATATAGTAAACTATCTTCTAATATTTTTCATTATCTTGTTACTAAGCGTTGATTCCTCATGAGTTCCTCAGTTGAGTCCATGCCTCTGATGCCGATTTAGTTTTTTTAACATGAATCAACAGATTAGCTTCAACAGACAAACATATCGTTGCTCTAGCCTCATTATCTTCCTTCATCCAATTATTTGTTACTGGATTTGGCTTTCCATGATCAATTACATCCCACAGTCCTTCTCCAATTAGGAGAAGCTCCATTTTATATTTCCATAAAGAATGATGTTCTCCATTCAACACCGCTCTTCTTAATTTTACCGATATAGGTGATATCCTGGGCTCATAACCTATTGGAAACTGCAGTGGGTTGGACTTAATTCCTCATCGGGGATGTATCGATGAATACTTTATCGAAATATTGACAAGACCTTTTATTCTATTCCAAATCAATAATGACCACTTCAGAATCAGTTCATATACAGAATGATCAGGATCAACAATAAAGGGTTATTTACGAATTCAATTCAAGAAATGTACAGTGTGAAAAATTGAAATGCTGAAGCATACGAGAAGTACTTGCCTTCGAAAATAATCGATTCTTTGTTTGGAAATCAGAACGTGGAATGTGATCTCTGTAGAGGTCGACGAAAAATTTAGATTTCATCGTTACAAAATGAATAATATATATATATATATATATATATATATATATACTTGGTGTCCCATGAGTGATGAATCGAAAGAAGTGGGGTGGTTGGGGGGGTGGTCATTTGCATGCAGAATAATGGTATATGTGGTTATCACATTGTTGAAGATTGAGAATTCATCCAATTTCTCTGAAATACGCGACCAATTGAAAAAAAATATAACAAAAAGGATGTTTCGAATAGCCACATAACCATTTCGGAATCTGTATTGAATGGGCAACTTCTTTGAGCGATAATCTTTGTGGGGTAGTTTTTCAATCTGACAGTGGCATTTGAGAATCGATTGAATATTTCATCAATTGACAAAATTTTCCTCAGGTAATTATTTCTGAAGGAAGGTGCATCCTTGTGGATGGAATTTGCGGAAGAAAAAATCACAAATTTGACAGTCCATTGTAATCACTTCTCTCTATAGGAATGAACAAACATGTATAACTTTTGAACCATCAACAATAAGATAACCACATATACGGTTAGTCTGATTACGAGTAACTTCCCCTACCACCCTACTTCTTTCGATCCATGAATTATGGGTAAATCGAATATTCTATTCATGTTCATATCATCAACTTGATCGAATGAACGCACTCATTTTGTATTTTCCAGGATATGTTCTTCTCTATCTCTACCCATGATTAGAATTCCCAAATCGAAGGCAGGACTCAAAATTTTTGTCTCCGACTATCTGAAGTCAACTGTCATTAACTTTTCAGAAAGGAACTATGAATCACCTATTTCACCTGTAGTGTGTATTATCGAACAAGCGAAACTTCATGACTTCCTCTGACTTTTGTCTTCCTACTTTTCAATGCATATGGCCTCTTGTTCAACTGATTTGTTTGAGTAGGTTCTCACAATATCATCGCAAAATTTTTAGTATTCCAGAAAACAAATACAAGTAGAATATTTGTATAACAGTATGGGGCGGAATTTTCAAGATATCGCTAGATAATCTAGAAGGGATTCAAGATTCACTAGTGAGAATCATGATGAAACAGGATCGGCGGCACAGTACTCAGTCTCTATATGAGGAAACTGGAATATTTGGTGTTAGGAAACTCTATACTTTTCATTGCTTATCATAGGCTACCAATTTATAAAAATCTTCTGTGAACTATGCATACAACACGCGTTCGTGTTCAAGTCAGACCATGAATGTTCCTCGCTGTAGGCTTACACATAATCAGAAGTTTTTATCGTACCTAGGACCTAAACTATATAATACGATACTTGTATCATTAAAATGTATGCGAACAAGATCAAAATTCAAAATAGAGTTGAAAAAAATCGTTAAAAACAATTTTGAAATGCTTAAATTGATTCTGGACAGATAAAAAATATCTACTATTCTGAAAATCTTCACAAATATCATATCACTCTCCCCTCTTCTTTCTCTATCTCTCTTTCTCTATTTCTATTTCTATCTTCATCTGTCTTTCTCCATCATATCATCACTCTATCACACATAATTATGTACATATGGTATATTTCCAGGATTGGAAAAACTAATCTTGTCTGCAGGCTACAATACAAGCATGCTTAGGTGGCTGCAGGCCTCTTCAGTTATCTCATTGTGTCTCATACATACTCATATGGATGTTCTGTTCATAACTGAATCGAATAAAAGTACTCAATTACTCATTTCTGCTGAAAGATTCTCAAGTTCTTGTTCTCATTTTGTGTGTTTTTCATAGTGACTCGATAACAGGTAGGTATTTCTACTCATAGTTAATTCGAATATCTGTTCAGGCATGTCTCTGTCCGAACAAATATGTTTACTATACAACTGCACTGAATAACAATAATAATAATAATAATAATAATGGCTTTTATTGATAGGGAAATGAAAAAAAAAAATACAGATCCTATCAAAAGGCAGGATTCAATAGACGAATTAGAAATCCAAGAGATCTAATTCGCTTCTTGTTCTTCCATCCAACCTCTACATACAATAACTTTACTATAATTTGAATAATAATATATATATCGTTAACAGCAGGTTTTTTCAATATCATGAATTCAAACGTTTTGGAAATAATACATTAGGGCATGATATACATAAGCGAACACACAAAAAAAAAAAAAATAACATACATATTCGAAAACGATGTGAAATTTTGTAAACACATATTACAGGTTGTTCAAATTGGTGTGTAGTGGGGCTGTCCATGATGAAAATTTATGAGACGTAATCCAACAGTTGTGGCAATTTGTTGTTCAGTAGATCAGATTTCAATTTATTTTTCATTACTTTTTTTGACATTCCTTTATAAGAGATCGGGAGCCGGTTATAAAGCCAGTAGCAGTAGTACGTGAAGGAACCTTTATATCTGGTGGTTTTGTATCTTGGCGGAGATATCATTCCTTTGAATCTCAAATTGAGGTTATGTACATCTGTTCTGAAAGTAATTTTGTGATACAAGTAGACAGGCCGTTGTGAACATATTATTTTGTGAAAAAGCACACAAGCGTGAAGAGTTCGACGCATTTCCATGTTCAACCAGCCGATGTTAGCCAAGTGCTGCGAGATGTGCTGCCTCCTGTTGATTCCGGATATTAACCTCACGCATGAATTTTGCAGCCTCTGCACCCTGAACCTGTCCACTCTCGTTAAATTTGGTCCATAAACAACGTCTGCATGATTTGCATGTGAAAGAACTAAAGTTTCACATAACATTTTTTTTACAGTAACATTCATTAGCCTCCTGTTGGAATAAATCAATTTAAGGCTGCTGTATCCTTTTTTTAAAATGTTCGAAACATGTCCAGAGAATCTTAATGAGCTATCCAACATCAGACCCAAATTTTTCACTTCATCCTTCAAAGGTAGTTTCACCCCATCGACTAGTATGTTGATATTATTATTATTATTACAAAGCTTCTTTGCTGACGGACGACCGAAAACCATTACACAGGATTTTGTAGGGTTAATAGTGAGGCAATATTTTCTAGAAAGCAATAATAGTGACTCTATATCTTGACTTATTCTTGTACATGCTTGATTCAGTTCATTTTTTGTAAAAACCATATAAAGTTGGGTGTCATCTGCATACGTGTGTATTGAAGTATGATTTAAACAACTTGGAAATTGCGATGTGTACAATGTGAATAGTAGGTATTGGGATGGGTTTGACAGACAAGGTGGGGCGTGGCCTAGGCGGGGCGTCAGTTGGGGATGTGGGGTGGAGTCTAGCAGGGGGTGGGGTTATAGAGGGGGTAGTGGGGCGGGGCTTGGCCCTGATTGGTCGTGGGTGGGGTCATTGTTCCAATTGGCTGTTGGGATTGTCTTATGGCCGACGTGGGGGTTTACCTTTCAAGGTGATTGATGGCTGGGGCCTTGCTTGGACCGGATTGGACGATGGTGGATCTAATGTTTACATTGGCTGTTGGAATGCCTGATGACTCGACGTGGTGATGATGATGTATGGGGGATTTCATGAAGTGATTGATGCTGGAGTGGGTGCTGTCTTATGGCCGACGTGGAGGTTTACCTTTCAAGGTGATTGATGGTTGGGGCCTTGCTTGGACTGGATTGGCCGAGGGTGGGTCTAATTTTTACATTGGCTGTTGAAATGTCTGATGACTCGACGTTGTGGTGATGATGTATGGGGGATTTCGTAAAGTGATTGATGCTGGAGTGGGTGGTGAGGGAGAGATATTACAGGCTTTGGGAGGCGTATAGTTGATATGTTAGGTATTTATGAGGTGATATTAGGTGCCATCATGGATGTGAGGTATGTTTTGTGGTGTATAAATCTATTGGACGAGGGTGGGTACAAATGTTTACATTGCCTGTTTGATTGTCTGATGGCTTGACGTGGGGGATGTACCTTCCAAAGTGATGATGTAGAGTGGGTTTCGCGAAGTGATTGATGCTGGAGTGGGTGGTGAGTGAGAGATATTACAGGAGGCGTATAGTTGAGTTTGTTTGGCATTCACGACGTGATATAAGGTGCCATCCTGGATGTGATGTGTGTTTTGTGGTGTATAAAAAAGTTGACTGCATTGGCCTGTAGGTGTGGTCTACTACGTATACCGATATAATTGGATCCCTCACACTCTTCCCCTCTCTCTCTCTCTCTCTCTCTCTCTCTCTCTCTCTCTCTCTCTCTCTCTCTCTCTCTCTCTCGCTATCTGCCACTCCTGCTATCTTCCACACCTGCCATCTGCCACACCTGCTACCTGTGCCTCCTGTTACCTGTGCCTCCTGCTATCTGCCCCTCCTGCTATATACCACTTCTGCTATCTGCTACTCCTGCTATCTGTCACTACTGCTATGCTACCCCTTCCATCTACCACCCATGTTATTTTCAACTCCAGCTACCAACAACCCATTATAACTGCCGTGAACCCCTGACATATGTATTGAAAAAAGTTAAATTTCATACCACGATTCTTAGGGATGAGCTGGTGTTGAACTGACAACTACTCAGTTCCGAAATAACCTTCATGAAATATATGTTTGCAGATTTAAGACGATTCAGATACCCATTTTATATATACCATAGGAAGTGAGATAAAACAAAGACTTGTAGAACGATTGAAAAGTTTAATAATGATAAAAATATTATTTATTTGTACATTTTACAGAATGAAAAGTTATAAAATTTACAGATAAATCATAATATGTGTGAAAAGGAACATTTTGTTACAGGAATTTTTGTAATATGAGTCATCACTGAACAGAGTAGAGATAACTACACAATACCATTAGCTGATAGCAATCATCATTGATCATGAATATCACTTGCTGTGAAACCAAAAGATTCGATTATTTTGTACAATGAGATGCACTTGAAATCTACAGCAAGAAGGAAAAGAGGAAGAAGTGATAATAATAACAAAGAAAAAAATTCAGTAGGTACAGAAGAAGATGGTTTGGTAGAATTGTAGTGCAGTTTTTTTGTTTTCAAGTGATTTAACATGCTTTTCAATTCAGAATATTATTATATGTATAACATAACATTTCAATATATTCAATGAGGATGACAGCTCATACAATTCAATATGCGTTTTTTCTTCCTCAGAGTATTTGTACAATGAGATGAAATCGAGACCCACACTAAGCAGAAAAAAGATAATAATAGCAATGAGAATTCGTCAATAAGTACAGAACAAAATTAGTTGGTAGAATTGTTTTTTTTTTGTTAAGTGATCATCAACTTGTTTTTCAATTATTTCGCTAATATGAGATGAACAGGTGAACTTATATGATACAAATTCATGAGAAAATCATGATAAATGGAAGTTCGAGAGAAAGTGAAATCACCAATTCGACATTATTATATTTCATATAATTACCTATATGATGATGAGAACACTGAAATAAAATAAAAAATATTAATAATATCATTTCAATTTATTGTCGTTGATTATGGAATTTTCGCTATGTTAACAATTCATCAATATCCAGGTTTTGGTGCCATCAGGTTCAGAAATTTCTGCTTTGTTTACTGATATAATATGTTATGTTAACAAAATATCAGAGTATTCTGAAATAACCGAAATAGATAAAACGAATATGTTTTGTGCAACTGAATACCTGCTATATGCCGAGCCACGTAGTAGATATCCACAAAGTCGGACGAACATTCTAATAATTGACTCATGTAAAATTGTAGTCACAGCATATAGCAGATATCAAATAATCAACAACGATAATCAACAAAAGAGACAGCTTATACAATTCAGTTCATTCTTCCGTACTGATTTAACCATGACCGACAAAAAAAAGAAGAGCATAATATCGTTAATCGAACTTGGATCGTTTCTTGAAACCATATGGTATAGAACTATGATCAGGTAAAAATCTTCGCTTCGTAGAGTTGGGGCGGTATATTTTTGTTTCTTCACGTGTGACAACTTCATGTTCCTTGGTTCTCCTGATATTTCTTGATGTTATGAAGATGGGTTCAGATGGACTCAAAATCGTGTTCTTGATGCTCTCGAAATTCACCAGTTGGGATGCAGCGTATGTTAAAGATAAACCTTTGACTTTGCAGACTACCTCTTCACGCATATTTCGTGTCGACCAGATTTTATAGGCGTAATTTTCAGGGCCTCCGGAAACAAACTCGGTTATATAAGATCCTAGGCCATACCCCTCTAGTTCGTCTGTCATATCACCAATGAATTCTCCTGTTGGTATGTCATCAAATTCTTCTGTTTTCGATACATATATAACTGAGTCTGTATCGTAATACAAGACCCTCTCACCTAGTAGTTCAAGGTAGTTGTACAACTTGAGGCGAGCCTGGGAGGTAACATATGCCGCTATAGCGACGTTAACTGTAGCCAATACATCGTATGATTCATCAGTGTATCGAAAACTAACTATTATTGTATTTTCATTGATGGGTAATACGTTATCAACTTCAATAGAGGGATTAGTCATCATATCAAAGAATTCACTAGGCTCATTCACAATTTTTGTCTTGGACTGGTTCTCTTTTTGACCAAACTTTCCCCAGAATGAGTTTAAAATCAACTTGGCTTGAGAGCGAAGACCAGGATTTTCAAGTATCTCACCGAATTCCAACTGAACATCTTCTCTATCGAGGAATTGTTCGATATATCTATTTTTATCTGCTTCACTTATACAGTTTTTAGGCCAACCCGAAGCCTGCTGTTTGATTTTTATGAATTTATTCATCATTGCAGTGAAGAGCCCTGGTATTTTTGTGGATTTATCATATTGCTCAACACGGTAGCTCCATATCTCCTGTATCTCTTGTAATTTGTATCCTTTTTCTAGAGCTTTCTGCACCTCATCGATCACCCATGTTCCTGTCAGAGCCCTCTCCTCTTCATCATGAGTGCACTCGTCAGTACTCATATTCTGACCACAGGTTCGACACAAAACAAACATCAACTTGTTATTCATTTTCAAAGGTAATACGGGGTGGTAGAGATTTTGTGGTGGAACAATGATACATTTAACGAGCCCATTAGTATTTTTCAGGTCGATGGTGGAGCATTCGTTTCCCACGTACACAATAGGGTGTCCGATGGGAAATTTTCCATATTTACAAGCCCATGGATATAAAGAGCAAACATCGATATACTTTATTTTCTCTCCATCCTTACACTTGTAATACTCAATTGTATTACCAGTTCTACCTCCAAAGAAAGCATCTCTAGCATTGAGTGGAATATTTCTGAGAATAGGGTGATTTGTGCTGAATTTTCTCATTTCATCAGTCAATTGTCTTTTGAAATCGCATTCCCACATTTCAATGACCACGTAGCCAAAGTTGCGTAATCTTTCAGACTTCGCTAGCGTTGACTCATACCTCAAATTCAGAGACTCTGTGGGGCTGTCGGGTAATGGTTCACTTCTCTTATATTTGTAACATTGTGGACATCCATGATATCTACAACCATGAAACTCGAAAACTTGATTGGTATCGGCACAAAAACCATCGACCTTCACGCCGTGTACACGTGCTTCTTGCTCCTTTCCAGCGTGTAAAATATTGATACATCTCTGATGTTCCTCCCACAATAACCATTCGATGGCTACCTTTGATTGTTTATCACGCCATCTGTAGCCATTTTTCGGTATGATGCCAATTGTATCAGTCTGAAGGAAGTTTCTGCGATAAACTGTATTACACGCAGAAGCTATAGTACACGCTTCTGTGAATGGGCATACGTTAGTCGTATCAAGCAGCTGTTGTCTGAATTTCAAACAGGCTTGAGCTAAAATTTCAACATCTGATATGCAATAAGCTACTAAGTCACGTTGCATATCGAATTCATCATCTTTATGAGCTTCATACCATGAAAGAAAAGCATTTCGATCATCCTCTTTCATATTGTCTGGGTCGTAGAAATTGACAGATGGTAGAGGCTCGACATAGCATTGATTTTTTGTGGTGTTGAAAAGGTGGGGAAAGTACCCTTTCTTGAACTGAGCATCAAGGCCGAAAGCTTTAGGAAGTTTCGAAAGAGCCATAGGAAAATAACTTAATGAATCCAGAAATTTTAAATTTCCTACGCCCATCATGATCAACTTAGTTCCACGCATTATCAACTCTGGCCTCAGATCGGTTTTCACCAGAATATAGTTGAGAATAAACTGATGGTCGAATCCTCCTCCGTTATGTGCGAGCACTACAACCTGTTTAAAAAGTTCTCTTTGATTGAGAATAAACTCAGTGAATCGTTCTAGTGGTTCAGATTTCAAGATATGTAGACGAACTCCACATTTTCCACATACTTCGTTATCTGAACTCAGACAAATGTCACAGCATTGTTTGAAAACACATAGATTGGGTACGTGCACTAAAGATCCATCGTCCAATTTTTTCTCCTGTTGTGTTTCTAGATCGTAAAATATAAACAGCGTGTCCTTGAGTTTCGGAGTCTTAGTATCCGTCTGTATATAACACAGATGTCCTTCAGGTGCATGTTTTTGACATATTTTACAATAAACC